TGTCAATCTCAGTGTCTGGCTTTGTAGGTGTCTCTTTCGGAGTATCTCTACAGATGATACTGTCCCTCTGTGACTGGCTCTCTGTCCCCACCAGTTTTTCTCTGTCTCCATCTCACTCCCCTCCCTCATGCCTGCCTGCCTGTCTCTATCTGCCCATCTCTGAGCTTGTGTGTGTGCATGTGTGCGTTTCTGTCTCCTCCCCTCTGTCCCTGTATCTCTGTCTCTGTCTCCCCCTCTCCTCTCTGTCTTACCTCCTGCACCGTCCCTCCTCTCTTGTGGGTCTCTGAACCCTCCTGATTGACTATTGTCCCTGTTTCCAACCCCTGCCTCACCGCCACCTCGCGCTCTCCCACGGGGGCCCTGACACCCACACGGGTCAAACCGCCTCCCTCTCCTGCTTCTCCCCTAGTTACAGCTGCGGCTTCCCTTGGATGGCAGCCTTAGGGATGTCAGCGCTAGGAGTAGGCGTGAGGTCCCCTAACTCCCAGGCTTTGGGATTCAGGCATTTGTAAAGTTTAAAAAAAAAAAAAAATGGAGAGAACCACCAGAAGGTGAACAACTCTTTATTTTTCTAAATGAGGATTTTTTTTTAGAATCGCCAACTTATCATTTCATAATAGAAAGAATATTTTAATACCCAAAACAAAGGTAGGAAGAATATGATCTAAGAATATACAATGGTCTTTTAAGTTAAATAAATTTAATTTCATGAAAACATCTACTGCATTGCTTTTATTTTATTCATTTTTCCCCAGATGGGTGAAGACTTTGTCAGGGACCAGCACAGGTTCTCTTGCTCAGCTGGAAACCCCCGATTCTGTGCCACTCCCCACTCTAGCTCCCGCGAGAAGCAGGGTGAACTGAGGGTAGAAAGGGCAACAATTCGGACAGGCCCAGCAGCTCACACTGGCCATTCAGCACCTCGTGGGGCCCTTTTCAGCCCCACTGGTCTCTTAGTTAAAATAATTCTTAATCTATTTTTTATTATTCTTTTTTACCCAGTTAAACTGTGCCTGGATCTTAGTTAAAATAATTTATAAGACCGCCTACCTGCCTGGGGAATCAGAGCCAAGACTCCCTGGGTTCCCAGTCTTCTGTGTGTGTCAGGACAAGTAACTGAGCCTGTCTCCGTGCTTCCATCCTCGTCTGTAAAATGAACAAAATAACAGCCAGCTCCTAGAGTTGCCTAAAGCATAGCAGAGGTCCAGCGCCCGTTAGCCACTGCTGTCATCAGCATAGGGGGGCTGTGGAGTCGTATCTTGGAGGAAGGGAGCTATTTGGGTTGAGACCAGGGCCTGGGAAGGCAGAGAGTAGAAGGGACTCATGTCTTGCCCGCCCGCAGGCCAGCTGTGGGCAGCAGTCAGCCTGTGGAAGGGCTGCCGCACTGGGACATTTAGGGGCTCAGGAGCCCAGCGAGGCTGCTTTGGAACTTGGGAACTTTGGAACTCATAGGCCTCTGAGGCGGGGCCAAGTGCTCAGAGATCCGGGCGAGGCCAGCGTGGGACATCTGCCACGTCTCTTCCCTGGTAAGCACCACTCCAGGGTGTGCCCAGAAAAGAGAGGACCTGGTGACTTACTGGTGAGGGAGAGGGAGGCAAAACGGCTCCCGATGTCCTCCCAGCTTGGCACCTGGGCGGATGGCGAGGCCTTTTCCTGAGGGAGGAAAGGAGGAGGGCCGGCAGGCCTGGCGTATTCTAGGCTGGGCGGCTGAGTTCAAGATGCTTGAGGCACATCCAAGGGGAGATGCTCAATGGCACGTGCAGGTCCAGGGATCAGGAACATCAAGATCAATACAGGAATGAGTCTAAGGAAGGACTCAGGACTAAGAAGGGCTTTGAAGGCTAGATAAGTTTGCCTATTGGGTGAGGCAGGGCTTTAAGGGAGGCAAAGAAAAGAACCTAAGAAAAGGCTTAGAGATGGGAGAAAGCAGCAGGAAATTTCAGAAAAGCTAGTAATTCCATTTAGCTCAAGCACTGATTGTAACAGGGTAGCTGTGAGAGAGAGATCACAATTAAAGAGATACATCCAACCCAGACTGTAAAAGTTATTGAATGCCTGGGTGAAGATTTTACATAATTCAGCAGGCAACAGGGAGCCATTGATTGTTTTTGAGCAAAAGAGTAAAATGATAAAGGCTGTATTTCAGGTTTATCTAACTTAACAGCACAGGATGGATTGAATCAGAGCCCAGAGGAAAGAAATATTAGAGAGACTTAGATCATTAAGCACAGTGGTGCATGCCTATAGTCTCCCAGCTACTTGGGAGGCTAAGGTGGGAGGATCCCTTGAGCTCAGGAGTTTCAGTCCAGCCTGGACAATACTGCAAGACCCCATCTCAAAAGAGAGAGAGATCGTCACTTATTTGTTCATTTAACAAACACTGAACTTCCTCTATGCAGAAGCAACCCTTCTCCTCAATCTAATTCCTAGGCCCTGATCTGCTAACTGTTGTGACACCAAATCACTTAGTGTTAAAACCAAATATAAAGAAAACTAAACATATCACTGTTATGAATAAATGTAGATGAGTTTAAGTCACTGATTAAAAGGAGTTTTATATGTACATAAAATAGAATATTCGGCCTTATAAAGGAAATTCTGATACACTCTACAACATGGATGTACCTTGAAGACATTATGCTCAGTGAAATAAGCCAGATCATTTTGCTTGCTCCCTGGTTCTCTGATATATTCTAGAGAAGTCTGCCAATGTCTCCATAAGACAAATACTGTATGACTCCACTTATACGAGTTTCCTAGAACAGTCAAATTCATAGAGACAGAAAGTAGAATGGTGGTTGCCAGGGGCTGGGAAGGGTGACAAGTTGTTCAATGGGTATCAGTTTCAGTTCTCCAAAGTGAAGAGTTCTGGAGACTGGTTGTACAACAATGTGAATGTACTTAACACCACTGAACTGTATACTTAAAAATGGTTAACATGGTAATATTTGTTATGTATATTTTACCACCATTAAAAATAAGAAAAAACGGTGTTTCAGAATGGTTTATAGAACAAAATCAACTCTAAAAAAGAAACACACCTAAAACAGTGATTTCTAAAGGCTAAAAATAAAGAAATGGGGAAACACATACTAAGTGTAAATAAAAAGCAAGTAAGAGCTATGATCTTAATAGGCAACAAGACAGAATTCAGACTGAGAGCATGGAACGAAATAAAGATGAAAAGTCTGGAGTGCGATGTACAAAACATCGCAGCACTTTTACAAAGCAGAAACGAGAGCAAATGAAAGATGAAACAGAAACGTTAATAATAGGAGACTGAAATGCACTACTTGCAGTCCAAGACTTAAAGCACCAAGCAAATATTAGTTATTGATAACATAAATACTATTGTCGTTATCATGACTGGTGATTATTTTGCTTGCTTCCTGGTTTTCTGATATATTCACAAGAAGTCTGCAAATGTCTCCAAAAGAGCTACCATTTCTTCAGTGTTTATCATGTGCCAGGTACTATGCTGTATTATGTGCAGTCTGTTACCAACTGTTTTATGAAAGCAAGACAGACAGATTCTGCTTCTCTTACCTCACCTTCCAGGCCCAGAAACCTGCTAGGTCCATTTTAAGTGAGTGTTCAGTGAAGACTTAGGAACCAAAGCACACTGACGAGGACGCACTTTAAACTCAGAAGTTTCGGGGATAGAAACTTCACTCTAGCACTTACTGTGTGGCCTTCGGCAAGTACCCTGAGCCTCAGTTTTCTCATATATAAACACAACAGTAATACTTACACCAACAAGGATTGTTCACAAGTTTAATTATAACAACACATGTAAAGGGTCTAGCATGGTACCTGGTCCACAGTAGGCATTCAATAAAGATTAATCTGAGGTTGAGAAAGAACAGAATTTGTCAGATAATCTTATGAGTCTTTTTTTTCCTATTAAAAAATCATCTTTAAATACAAATGTCTTCCAACGCATTTGAAATTATTTTTTTAAATGTCATGGGGTAATATTAATAGTAAAATAAGTATGGTAGGTCCACATTATAGTGAATGGCAATGAAAGAATGAATTGTATCTGTATGCACATACGTGGATGGTCATGATTGGTTTGCAGTTAAAAAAAAAAAAAAAAGAAAACTTCAGACTATAGACAGAATAGTTCCCCTCCCTCCTTTTAAAAAACTGTGTCTGACTACAGGAGGTTGAGGCTGGAGGATTGCTTGAGGCCACGAGTTTGAGACCAACCTGGGCAACATAGTGAGACCCCAATCTCTGCAAAAAATTTTAAAAAAAGAATTAGCTGGACATGGTGGCACACACCTGTAGTCCTAGCTACTGGGGAAGCTGAAGCAGGAGGATCTCTTCAGCCAGGAGTTCAAGGCTGCAGTGAGCTAATGATCATGCCACTGCACTCCAGCCTGGGTAACAGAGTGAGACCCTGTCTCTAAAATAAATAAAAAAAAATTGTATCTGCACAGAGAAAAGTCTGGAAAGATATACCCTAATTTAAAAGGTGACAGAGTCTGACTCTCTCACCCAGGCTAGAGTGCAGTGGTGTGATCACAGCTCACTACAGCCTCAAACTCCTGGGCTCAAGTGATCCTCCCGCCTTGGCTTCCCAGTGTTCACCGCATGCACCCAGCTGGTGAAGTGTTTTTTTTTTTTAATTTTTTATATTCCAGTTCCTTTTGTCATTTCCAACACACACACAGAAGAAAAAAATAAAGGGAAAAAGAGTTCTCATTCTCTTTGGCCTAAATTTTTCATGGGACTTTGAAACTGTTGAACTGAATAGAAGAGGTGGTTAAATCTTCTGGTAAGTGTGAGAATTTCCATACCCAGCTTTTTTGAAAGAGAAATTGCAGGATAGAGAGAGAAGAATGAATTGCTCCAGCGTTACTCATTACTCAGCATATCCAAACAGGTAGTCTCATTCTCGTCCCTGCCACCACTACAGCCTGACACAGAGAGTAACAGAGAAACTCTTTGATAAATGTCAACTGAAATAGAGCAATCAGCTGAAAGCCATTTGCTGAGCTGTCTGACTGCCCTGGGCTCGAGGTTTCCTTTATTCATTTATCATGAGATACAGCTTTGGCCAACAAACACACAGGAGAGAAATTGTTGACATGTGGAAACCAAGTATAGAAAATCTTTCATTTTCCCCTCGTCTGTTCACCAAATAAGTTTTTGTTTATTTAAAGACTACAGAGGATTTGACTGTTAAGAACCAAATGCCTTTGGAGTGGAGTTACAACATAATTTATCATTTCCTCTGTTTATTAAAAAATCCTGCATCTTTGAGAAGCACATTTGCAGTGAGTGGGGGATATTCGGCCAGTCATAAAGGATTGTTGCAAAGCCCCTTCATGTGGCTTACCTCAAAAGAGGCTCCTTAATTGCTATTTCTATACCTGTTCTCCCCCCAGCTGAGTTCCAACCATGTGATGGCCACTAAGGGCTGGCGAATGAGGTCTGAAGACAGGTAAGCCGGGCAGGAGATTGTGCTAGTTTCTTTCATCTTTGACCTAATTCTGATGTTGAATCCTCACAGCTATTTCACAGCACATTCCATCAGGATAAGCAGAGGGAGGAGTGCAACCCTTATTAACTGTCTGGGGAAAGCCAAACAGCAAAGAGAAGCTAGATGCTGCTTCAACAGAACTCAGCAAGGCCCTGGTGCCACCAAAGCGGGCTCCATTCTGAATACCTGGCAGAACTGAAATGAACTTCCTACCTTTCCACCCAAGACACTATAGCGATGGCAATTTAGTTCAGTGCACTATACACCCTCAAACAGGGGTCATGTCTTACCCATTTTTGTGTTCCCAGCACACAGTATAGTACCTAACAGCTGGTGTTCACTAAATGCTAGGAAAGGCAGCAGGATGCAGGGGTTCCTTCTAGGCTGCTGAACATGTGGAGGTGCTGGGAAAGAGGTGAGCCCAGAGAAGGCACGGAAGCTCTGTGCTCCTTCCCCATACCTTGCCCTATGTACCTCTTCATCATCTGTATCCTATGTGTTTCCCTGAGTTCTGTGAGCTGTCCTAGCTCAAACCCAAGGAGGGGTGCCAGGAACCTTGGGTTTTAGCTGGTTGGTCAGAAGTATGGGCAGTCCGAACTCATGACTGGCATTGAAAGTGGAGGTAGTCTGTGGGGCTGAGCCCTCAACCCGTGGGATGTGACACTATTCTCCAGGTAGACAGTGTCAGAACTGAATTTAATTATAGGCCACCCAGTTGGTGTCTGCTGGAGAACTGCTTGGTGTTCCATGTTGAGTGTGACGTAGGGGAAAAAAATTTTTTTTTTCCTTTTACACTAGTGGGCAGAGCACAGGCTTTAGAATCAATCTGAATCCCAGCTCTGCCACTTGCTTGCTGTGTAACTTTGGGCAAGAAACCTCACCTCTCTGTAAATGACACCGACCACGAAAAATGAAAACCCTCTACCACTTGGCAGATTTGTCATTGTGGGCAAGTTGCCTAATACTGTCAAGTCTTAGTTTTCATATTTGTAAAATGGAGATAATACATATCCTTCAAGTTCACTATGAAGACTACAAATAATGCCTAGAACTATATCTAACTTATGATGTCGATATTATGAATGAATGAATGAATGAATGAATGAATGAATGAATGAATGAAAAATAATTAGAGGGAAAAAAGAACTCATTTAACCCAGTACCCAAAGATGAGCCACGACAAACTTGTCTGTCAAGCAATGAATGGTATTTCATTACCAGGTAATTGTTGAGGACAAGAGCAAGTGTGGAAAATGACAGAAAGATGGTGTTAAGACCAGAAAGAAAAGAAAAGCCAGCATTTGCTGGGTAGCTACTGTGTGAAATTTATTCACAGCACAAACATAAGAATGCCTACTATGCTCCAGGAATTATGGTAAGTTCTGAGGATAAACAGACTAATTAGCAGAAGGAATACTTAGGGTTCAGATAAAAGCAGTAGACTGTGCTATGAGAGCACCATATCAGGGGTCCTAGGTGAGGTGGGAAAGGAACAGCTCCCAAAGGACATAATATCCAAGCTGAAACCTGAAGGTGAACAGGTGAGGAGTGGAAGAGTGGGCCAGGCAGAGAAAAGCACATGCGTGAAAGTGACCCTGAAGCGAAAGTACTGTTCTGGTTGCTTCATATGCAGGTCTTTAGAGATCAATCCAGACCAATTCTGTCCTTTCTTTTGTGGCTAGTATTCTTTCCAATTTATTTAGATTTGTGAAAATGGGCCTCTGGCAAAGATGTCCAGTCGCAGCTGAAGGCCCACATCAGTTCAAGCAGAGTTCAAGATTGGGGACAGGGCCTAAATGAAAAGGAGGCTCCTGAGATGAGGAGCAGGCAGTACTAAGCCTGCTAATGGTCCCAGTCCCAGTCCCTTGGTGACATCACAGTCAAGGCAAATGCCCAAGTAAAGGCCCTCTGCCGGCCGTAGATATTCTCTGAGGGCTTTCCACGCCAAAGGCCCAGAAGAGAATGGGGTGGGCAAGGGGTAGGAGGACGAGAATGAACAAGTCTGAGTGTTCCACTGAAGGCTGGGCCTCACAAGGACTGATAGCATGGTGACAGCCTTCCGTGTGGATGGGGGTTGGGGGGGGCCAATTTGCCCACCATGGGATCCACTCCACACTCTGGAGTGTTGCTGGCCCCTGATGGGCTCTCAGCCAAGGAGTTCTTTGGTCTTCACTGCCAGATGCCTGTCCAGCTCTGCAACTGTGTCATCGGCCATTTGGCTGATCTGCAAGAACACAAAATGAAACAGCCTGATAAATGGTAAGGTTAGAAAAGGGTAAGGGGATAAATACTCCAGAAATATGAAGAGGTTATCTAAGAAATAATAATAGTGGCAAAAGTTCACATTAACTGAGTCCTAGGTACTCTACTAAGAACTTTATATATATATTCTCATTAATTAATTCCTAATAGCAACCCCTTGAGATAGATACTATTTTCCCCATTTTGCAGATAAGAAAACTGAGGGAGTTAGACCACTTATTCAGGACATACAGCTGGCAAGTAGCAATAACAATATTTAATCCATAGTAGTCTGATTCCACAACCCAAAACTCTTACCTATTATCCATTCAAAGAAGCCAGCCTTATCTGTCCCTTAATGTGCCTCTAGAATTTCCTACACCTCAGACATTTTGCTATATAAAGCCCTCATACAAATTGATAACAAGACTATTAAGATCCCAATAGTCAAGCAGAAAAAGAAATGTCTTGAAAAAAGATGAAGAAGTACACCTAGTTAACAAACATGGAAAAGTCAATAGACATTGAAGACATGCCAATTAAAACAAGATACAATTCAGGTATCATAGTTAGCAAAATCTGATGTGGTTTTTAATTGTAATATTCAATGCAGTAAGCTATGATGAAATGGATAAGCTCATATATCATTGATAAAAAAATCAAACTGATGCAAATGTTATACCATTTAAACCCAAAGTCTCTCAACTAGGAAATTATCACATGAACAAGATCTGAAAACTTTTCTTAAGTACTATACACAAAGATATTTATCTCAGCTTTATTTTTAATAATGAAAACTCAGAAAATCTAAAGTTATAGAATGGGGAAGTAGTTGAATACATACAGTCATTAAAAATGGTTAAGACCATTTCTTATATCTAGGGTATAAATATAAATACAGTCTAGTATATATTTCTGAAACATCTGAATGTTTTATGACAAGCATGGGTTGCTTTTATAATCAGAAAAAAAAATTTTAGGCTGGGCATGGTGGCTCACACCTGTAATCCTAGCACTCTGGGAGGCCGAGGCGGGCGGATTGCTTGAGGTCAGGAATTCGAAACCAGCCTGAGCGAGACCCCGTCTCTACTAAAAATAGGAAAAAATTAATTGACCATCTAAAAATATACATACAAAAAATCAGCCAGGCATGGTGGCACATGCCTATAGTCCCAGCTACTCGGGAGGCTGAGGCGGTAGGATCCCTTGAGCCCAGGAGATTGAGGTTGCTATGAGCTAGGCTGATGCCACGGCACTCATTCTAGCCTGGGCAACAAAGTGAGACTCTGTCTCAAAAAAAAAAAAAAAAAAAAGAAATGAAAAAAAATTTTCAATAATGGTTCAAGATATTATTTATAATATGGAAACATGCTGATGTCATCCTTGAATTAGGGAAAAAGCAGGATACAAAATTATATATATGTAGTAGAAATGATCTCTAAAATATGTAAATAAAAAAACTGCATATTTTTAAAAACTGGAAGGAAACTTACCAAAATATTAATAGTGGTTAACTTTTAGTAATGGGAAGACAGGCAATATATTATTCATGTCTGTATCCATTACATTCAGCTTAGGGCCTAGCACATAGAAAGTTCTTATGAAATATTTACTAAGTGAATAATTAAAGTTTTCTGTTTTTTCCTATATTTTTCAAATTCTCTACAATAAACAGGAACTCTTTGTAAGAATGAAAAACAATACAATTCAGTAGGTGCTGCAGCCTTCCTCCTAAGTCTAAATGGGAATGAAGGCAGGAAGCTTTGAAGGCAGCAGAGTGATGCCAGGATATGTGTGCTCAGCAGCATGGTAGCTGTTTGACATCTTTATTTGCAGACCACAGGCCTTGGCTAGGAATTATAAACTAAATACATTTAGAGTGGAAACTAAAAAGGACTTGGAGCAGTTGGTCCCAGGCAGAGGCACAGCCAGGCTCTTACCATGGCAACTGTGCATTTTTCAGCTGGAAAAGCAAAGCTCCTGGGGTTGTCAGACACTCTGGCAAAGGGGCTGGCCTCAGACTGGCAGCTTAGTCTCTCATCACTCAGCTAGCCACAAACCCTTGAGACACTTCTGCCTCTGCAGCTGCCTTGCATGGTGGCATGGTGCCTAGCAGTGCTCCAGCACCCGCAGGCTGGCAGCCCGGGACAGCCAGGAATGAAGGCTACATGTCTTCTCTGGAAAAATGGCTTTGATGCTAGTTTGCAGGCAGGGATGGGGATGGGAAGAAGAAGAGTACCTAGGGTAAGCATTTGATAATGTGAGTTCTGGGTTAAATTCTCAGTGGTTCCAAGAAGTGGGAAGTGTTAAAAAAAAAAAAATGTCAGTGGGGTAAAAATATGCAAGTCATTTTCCCACTTTGAGTCTTAGTTTCCTCATGTATCAAATGAGGATACTAGTCCCTTCCTTAGAGAGTAGTTGTGAAGTTTAAACAAAATCATGAATATACAAGCACATTTAAAACTGATTATTTGCTATACAAATATTGATTGTGTTATTATGATTTTTACTTTCACTTCCTGACTTGTTTTCCAATTAATCAATCAATGAAAATATTTACTTTTTACCATAATATAGGCACAAAGTACCCTTGGGGACAGTCTGCCTGCAAATTTATCTTTTCCATAATCATCAGACTTTGTAAAATATCGATGATTAACATCACCACTACCAACAATGGATTTTACTTACTGAGTACTTACTACATGCCAGACACTTGACTAAAATTATACATGCATTATTGCACATAATCCTTATAACACACGAATACTATTAACATTATAAATAGTAATTTTACCTGATTAATGAACATTGATTTACCTGTTTTGTCCTCTGTTATTTCATTCAAATCCAACCACTTCATATAACCTCTATTAAGCAAGTAGAACAGATAGTATCCCCATTTTACAGAGGAGTAAACTAAGGCACAGAATGTTAACTCATCTGCCCAATATCACCTCAGTGGTGTTGCTGAGCCAAGAACTCACCACTCTGATGGCCAGTGTGATGCTATTTTCTTTGTAGGGGTCTACAACAGCTGGCCTAGTCCTTCCTCATTCCAGGCATGCTGTGTTACAATCATTAAAGTCAAAAGGTTGAAGAAAGGAGTAGGATAAATACACAGGGTGAACAATTACTGAGGACCAGCAACCATATGAGCCACTTTTAAGTACGTTGCATCATTTGGTCTTCATATCAATGCTGTGAGACAAGCACTACTGCTCCCACTTTACAGACGGAGAAATAGAGGCTCAGGAAGGTGAAGCTTTAACAGCTAAGACTCAAAAGAGCTAGGACTGTCTGACTCCAAAGCAAGAGCCCTTTCCATTATAATGTGCTGCCTCATAAAGATTATAACATCATCATCAACAGCATCATGGTCACCATCATCACATTTGCTACTGACAAGTTCAGGAAAACAAAAGGCAGAGACAAAGAAAGGGGATGGCAGGAGCACAGAGTACACCGCTGGGGCAGGCCTGCATATAAGTCATGGTTCCCGAGCCTGGCTCGGAACACCCACTGCCTCACTCAGTCGGTGAGGAGCCCTTCCCTCCTTCAACTCCACCAGCACCCAGCTTCCCTCATTTCAGAGGAGCTCTGTTTCTCAGAGAAAGGCAGCAGTGAAAGGATCTTGGCCAGAGTTACTGATGGTTTCTGCCAAATGCTTTAATGTTCAGCAGGCCCATTTACAGCAAACTAACGTGAAGGTGAAACAGCAGGCTGGCAGATGTCAGAGTCCTAAGTGGGAAGACATTGGTCTTTCTTTAGCAGAGTTGGCCTGGACTTGGGGTTGGGAAGCTGGTGGGTGTTGAGGGAATTTGGGGGTCAAACATGACTGCAGGGATAGGTCCTACAACTGAATCATTTCATTTTTATATACCAAAGATGAAAGAAACTTTTTTTTTTTTGGAGACACAGTCTCACTGTGTTGCCTGGGCTAGAGTGCCGTGGCGTCAGCCTAGCTCACAGCAACCTCCAACTCCTGGGCTCAAGTGATCCTCCTGCCTCAGCCTCCCGAGTAGCTGGGACTACAGGCATGCGCCACCATGCCTGGCTAAGTTTTTGTGTATACATATTTTTAGCTGGTCAATTAATTTCTTTCTATTTTTAGTAGAGACAGGGTCTCGCTCTTGTTCAGGCTGCTTTCGAACTCCTGACCTTGAGCGATTCGCCTGCCTCGGCCTCCCAGAGTGCTAGGATTATAGGCGTGAGCCACCACCACACCCAGCCTGAAAGAAACATTTTTATAATATGGTTTTAAAAAGTCTGACCTCAAAAAATTTTTGGAAAGTTAAAACTAAAATAAGAAAAACTCGGCTGGTCCAATGGTAGTGGGTTCTCAGAACTTATTTAACATTAGTGTTACTAAAGTTGGTATACAACCCCCCACTGCTAAATTTGACTAGCTTAAAAATAAAGAAAATCTCACAAAAAATAAAATCAAAATTGTTCATAATCCTATCACCTGAAATGACCACCTTTAATATAATATTTTGATGTGTATAAGCTGCCAACCTTATGTACATGTAACTTTTGTTTATAAAAATGAAATCATAATACTATATAACCTTTTAAAAAAATTACAAAAAAATTTACCATGTCTATAAAATATTTTTATAACTGTCTTTCTATATAGATTCCAATGAAGATAAAATAATTTATTTTCCCACTGTCAGAAATGTAGACAGTTATCCAGTTTTCTACTATTACACTTAATATATCAACAAACATCCCTATAGATAAGATTCTGGACAATTTATTTTGGATAAATTCCTAAGTCACTGAATCAGAAATGTATGGATTTTGATACATAATGCCATATTATACTCCAGAAAGGCTCTATAAATTTATACAAAGAAGAACTTAATCTTTTTACAGAATGTGGTAACAAAAGCAATACTTTCAAGATAAGCAACATTTTAAGCTCACATTAAAAATTATAGCTTCAAGTGTTACGGGTTATAAAAGGCAAACATTTTTTAAAAACACACACATACATTCTAAAAACCCTGCAAGTGATTTAGGCAGTATATACCAAGATCCTTAAAAAATGAATTCCCTTTGTGCAGTAATTTCACACTTGGGACTTCTATCCTAAGGAAATCTTCTCAACAAAGATTTATGAATAAAGATATTTGCTGCAACCTTACATATAATAACAAAAAAAGTTTAAATAAACTAAATGTCCAAAAAGAGGGCTTATGAAAGCGAATTATGGGTATAACCACAACATGGACTATTTAGAAGCCTTTAGAATGGCTGTTTACAAAGTTTTTCAAGCCACGAGAAAATGCTAATGCCTTTAATGTCAAACAGAAAATTAAAAGCTGAATATAAAATTGTATATATACTATATGTTCTTAATCATGTTAACACTATGTAGTAAAAAAAAAAAAAAAGGAAAGGAGAAATATTCCAAAATGTTAAAAGCAGTTGCCTTGATGATGTGGGATTATCGGACGAATTTTTCCCTGTTTCTTAAAAGTCTTTTGTACTCTACATTTTCTACAATGGGCATATATTACTTTGATAATGAGGAACAAAAAGTAAACAAATAAATTTTTAAAAACTGCTTGATGAGCAATAATCAGCTATAGCCTTGTTTATATTAAAAAAAAAAATACACCAAAAACTCCAGTTTGATGCTTTCAGACAGAGAAAAAGAACAAAATGAAGTGTATACACGGCTATCTCCTGAAAATTTTCCTGCCCCAACTTTTAACCATATGACAATATATGAAGTTATTAACAATAATGGTTAAGAATTAACATTTAAATATTATCTTTAATAAAGATTTTTGCAATGGAAAGATATCGATGATATACTATATGATATATAGTATGATTTTTTTCTTGTAATATACATATGCTTAAAGAGATAACTTGAAGGTCTGCCCTAAAATTTTTTTTTTTTTTTTTTGAGACAGAGTCTCACTGTGTTGCCTGGGCTAGAGTGCCGTGGCGTCAGCCTGGCTCACAGCAACCTCCAACTCCTGGGCTCAAGCCTCCTGCCTGAGCCTCCTGAAGAGGTGGGATTACAGACATGTGCTACCATGCCTGGGTAATTTTTTCCTATATATTTTTAGTTGTCCAGCTAATTTCTTTCTATTTTTTTAGTAGAGACGGGGTCTCGCTCTTTCTCAGGCTGGTCTCAAACTCCTGAGCTCAAATGATCTGCCCACCTCAGCCTCCCAGAGTGTTAGGATTACAGGCGTGAGCCACCATGCCAGGCCTGCACTAAAATGTTAATGGTCATCTCTAAGTAATGAGATTTCAATGACTTTCTTCATTCCTTTTTAAAAATTATAGTACACATTCATGAGTTTAGTAACAGAAAAACTTAAGCTATTTTCACATTGAAAAAGTAATAATAATCAACAGGATTTAGCACTGAAGAAAAAACTCTAATCTGAAGAGGATGGTGAAAAGCCAGTGCTAATGAGTGAAGCCTTCCAGCAAGGACTTTGTGTCAAGAGTCCTGGTTATCTGATCATTCTTCCTTTTTCAAGGAGTGGTGGGCTCTGGTCCCTAAGGCAGATGCCCTGAGTTGCTGAGTGAGGAGTGCCTGGCAGGCCCTGAGGTCCACAGGCTTACCACCAGGAAGTAATGAAAGGAAAACTGTCAACTGTAGAGATGAAATCCCCTAGGAGACAGACAAGGAGCTGGCCCAGCTGGAGCCAAGGCCCAGACTATTATGAGGCCTGATCAGTGCTCAGAAAAGTCCAGCCTAATCTATGAACTTCTCTTAGCTGATGCAGGGAAAAGAGGAGAGCAGAAAGATGGCAAGAGGGGAGGTGTCAGGTATGCAAATAATGCTTTTTAAGCATCCCAGGGAAACTCTTCAAGGTGGAAATTACCAATCCCTTTTCACAGAACAGTCAGACTCTAAGGAGTCAAATAACTTCCCCAAGGTCACAGGACATGAAGTACAAAATAATCTTTTCCTAACTCTGGTGCCATTGCAGGGTGTATTATAAAGTTTCTAGGTCATTATCTTCTACATGTGCATTTGTAGAATTACCTGGGGAGATTTTTAAAAGTAAGACATTACTAGGCAGACCTCCTGAATCAGAAAATGCAGGAGCAGGACCCAGGAATCCACCTAAAATTCTCCCCAGGTGATTGCTGTGGCTGGCCTACAACTGGCATTCCAACTGTTGGTCCAGGAGAAGGGGAGCAGCTACTCAATTTATGGCCTCCTCCAGGGGTTCCCTAGTGGCTCTCCTTGCCTCTTTACTCCCCATCCTGCCTACGCTCCTATTCAATCTTCCTAAAATAGTGCTTTTATTGTGGACAAATAGGCCTTGGGCTTATCAAGCCCTTTATATTACATTAAATATTAGTAATTATTATCTCCTAAATACTGGTAAATTCATCTTCCTATTTCATTTCCCACTGGTACTACTCAGGTTCAGGCCATCAACACTTACTGGTTGGATTTCTGCAGCAGTCTCCCTGCCTCCAGTCTTGCCCCCTACAATCTGTTTTCTACCTGGCTACCATAGTCTTCTTTCATACACACAGATGCGATCTCCCCATTGTCTGAAAAAAAATCTTTCAAGAGCATTACTGTATGAGAATCAACTGAGAAGTATCTAAAAATGCAGCTTCCTGGGCAGGGCATGGTGGCCCACACCCGTAATCCTAGCACTTTGGGAAGGTGAGGTGGAGGATTGCTCAAGATCAGGAGTTTGAGACCAGCCTGAGTAAGAGCAAGACTCTGTCTCTACTAAAAAATAGAAAAATTAGTCTGACATTGTGGTTCATGCCTATAGTCTCAGCTACTCAGGAGTCTGAAGCAAGAGGATGGTGTGATCCCAGCAGTTTGAGGTTGCAATGAGCTACAAGGATGCCACTGCTCTCTACCCAGGGCCACAGAGCAAGACTCTGTCTCAAAAAAAACAAAAACAAACAAACAAAAAAATGCAGTTTCCTGGTCCCTAGCCCAGATTCACTGACTCCATCTCTGTGAATGGAGCCCCAGATACCTGTACTTTTATAAGTTCCCAAGTGATTATGGTACTGTGGTAGATTAGATATTGTTTAGCAAATATTCACTCCCTCTCCCAGACCTCCATGAACATATTTACTTCTTCGCTACAACAATGACACTGGGCTTAGCCCATGTGACCTGCTTTGGCTAATGGGATGTGACAAGAGCAGGCCCTTAAAATATGCTCAAGTGGTTGGGCTCATTCTTTTGGCATCTGCTGTTACCTTGAAAAGATGCTCTGGGAAACCTGTTGACTTCTGAAGATTGAAGAGGTATATAAAGCAAATTTGAACCCAATCCAAGATCTGGAGCCACTGAGCCCAGTCTAGAACAGCTATACCCCAGCCAGCCCACTGAAATGAGAATAAGAAATAATGCTTTGATATTGCAAATCACTGGATTTGGAGGTAGTTTGTTATGTAGCATTACTGTGGCCACAGATGGTTAATATACACGCACAACCAATGTGGGAACCTCTGGATATGTTAAAGTCCAAACTCCTCAACCCAGGATATAAGACCCTCTGTGATCTGGCCACTCTGTTTTCTCTATTTATTCCCTAATCTCATCCTAGATTCAAGCCCCAGTGATCTAACTGAACAATGTTCTTTTATATCACCATACCTTTGCCCATGTGGTAATACCTTTCTCCCTTGTCTCTACTCCGATACCTCCTTTAAGAGCTGTTTAAGTGTCACTACTCAGCTCACTGAAAACAGAGGGGAGAGCACTGGCATATAGGCTCTGAAATCAGTCTGCCTGTGTCTGGATCCCATTTCTACCACTCATCAACAGTGTGACTTTGGACAAGTTATTTAACTTCTTTGAACCTCATTATCCTCACTACCTCCCTTACAGTTTTGTAGAGATGAGGATAAATGAAGTAACATAAGTGTTCAGCACAAAGCCTGGCACATAGTAAAAGGTCAATTGTATCTCATTCTCCATGGATCCTTCCCAGTTTCCAGCACAGGGCTAGGCCCAGAATAGAGATGCCGTTGATGCTGATCATGTGAATAAGACTCAGGGCTACTCTGCTTTAATTGTCCTCGCTTCAGACATGAGCAAATGATTCCATGGGTCAGATACACAGATGCTACTACATCTGCTGACAATAGTACCTGTTTCTCTATGAGCCTAATGGTATCCTCTGAGGTCTTGTCCTTTGACTTCTTCAGCTTATTCATCGCATTGGTACGAACCTTCCGTAAAGAGTCTTTGGCCTTGTTGGTGTGCTGTTTGGCCAGTTTCACCAGCATTTCCCGGTGCTCCCTGGTTACTCTGATAAGAGAAAAAAACACATGCAACAAAATAATTCTATTGGTTAACTGTTAGTCAAGAATTTAACATCATTGTGTTCAGCAGCTTAGCAGTGTGTAACTTTACTCTGTCACCTGATCTTCATAGTCCTGACACATGCCATGGCACGCTCGGGGTCAAGAAGAATGCCTGGCAAGTTAGGCTAGGAGAGCCAGTAAGACTATTGCTTAAAAGCACGAGCCAGGGTGTCTAGGCCAACTTGGGCTCAAATCCTGGCCATGCTCCTTATAAGAAGCAAAACTGACTTCCTCTCCTAAGAGTTCCTATCTGTCTAATGGGGACTGTATCAGCACCTGTCTTAAGCAGTGGTGTAAAGATTAAATGAGATGATGCATGTAAATCATTTAGCACTGACCCTGGCACATTTTAAATGCTCAATAAAAGGAATCAATTATTAGCTATCACTCTACCTCTTTCTCACCCATCTCTAAATCACTCAAAATAAAATAAGTAGCAACCTTCAGAATCTTAACAATTATTATAACAAATGACTTATTAATCATCTCAAAACTGGCCAGGACACAACATGAGTCCCAACATAGCATGTGAGAACCACTGTACCAGTTAACTTCCATAAGGTACTCACGAGAGTGTCTAGCACATTATAAATGCCTAATAAATGTCAGTTGTTTAACAAACATCCTCATTATTAACAACAATGAACGTATTGAGGGCCTACAATAAACCACTGGGATATGCACTTTATACATTGATCCTTACAACCATTTGAAGCAGCTATTGTGATTCCTATTTTATATTTAATCATCACAAATACCCACGGAAGTAGCCCAGCATGTTTGCTCTGCCTTCGTTTCTTCATCATATACAAACTGAGTTACTACCTATCAAAACCTGTATTAGGTGCTGAGGGTAATACGATGAACATGACAGACCTCTGTCTGGCTCCCAAGAGACAAGAGATATTTGCAACAGGGTGTGAGAAGTGCCGTGGTAAGGGAAGTCGGGAAGTATGAGGTGCCACAGGAATGCAGAAGGCGCTTAGCTAACTCACCGGGAACCATCCAAGTTTTGGGAGGGTGCAGTAAGGGAAGACTTTCCTGAGGAAATGACATCTAAAATGTGACAGTTGTTAGGTCTGTTCACTAGTATTCTGGTTCTCATCCTTCCAGGCACATAGTAGGAATGCATTTCCCCACCCCTTTTGAAGTCAGTCTATATAATTCGTATTGTCCAATGAAATGTGAGCAGAAGTGATGGGTGTCACCTCAGGACAGAAGCTTTAAGAGGCTTTAAGAGGAAATGTGTGCTCTACCACATTTGTTTCCTTTGGTAACAGTACAAGTTGAGATACAGCTTCCATCGGCTTGGGTCCCAGAATGACTATGATAAGCAGCGCCCACCATGCAACAGAAGTAAGAACTAAACTCTTATTCTAAGCCACAGAGGTTTTGTGATTGCTTGTTACTGCAGCACAACCTCTCCTATCTTGACTAATATATTATACCACACTAGGATCTGAAAAGAAAGTGCAAGTGGCCAGTACTGGCACAGCAAGGGGGAATTTCCAGCACAAAAGAGCATACACAAAGGCTTTAAGCTGCAGAGCCCATGTTTCATTTGAGGAATTGGCTGGAGCAAAGATAACAAAGGGAAATAAGAAAACAGGCTAGGAAGCAATTTCATGGAGAATCTTGTAAGATCTTGAACCCTATTTTACAGATGAAGCAAATGAAGCCCAAAGAAGTCTGATTATCTTATACAAAGTCAAACCAAGTCAAACATAGGCTGGTCTGTCTCAAAAGCCAGGCTTATCTCAGATGACAAAATTCCTCCACCTCCAGGTCCTAAAATGGACATGCTTATGCTTCCTGACCCTCAAATCAATGTTGTTCTTGCTGAGGAAGGACAATCCCAAATTCTGGGTACATGTTCAGTGTGGAATAGTAATGAGCAGCTGTTAAAGATTTAGTAGCATCTACCTGATATTTTCTCTGATGACAAAAAAAAAATTAAAAAATTTTGACAAAGGATAAGCTCTGAAGTGAACGGTTGTGTTATAAATAAATCCTCCTGGGTTCAGCTACTTGAAGGTATTCTCAAAATAAAAATGACTCCAATTATTACCATTATTAAGCTCCTCTATGGCAGGTGAATACTTTAAGTATGTTACCTCATTCATCCTCACAACTCTTCAAATTAGAGCTAATACCCCTGTCTCCAGTGAAGAAATTGAGGCTCACATATGTTAAGTGACCTGCCCACGGGCTTGAATGAGAACTGGAATTCAAATCCAGGTCTTGTTGGCCTGTATTCTTTCCATTCTACTCCATGCTGCCTACTCCTTGTAATCTATTTCAAATAAATCATGCACTGCTGCCATTACTTCTGCTTCCAGGCAGAAAGCTTTTCAAAGCTAGTAATATGAAGCTTGGGACTGAAAAGGACAAAACCACCATGTCAGGAGTTTAGGGATTTGGATCAGATCTTGTTACTTTTATGGTTTTTAATTCATTGAACAAAAATCATGCTGACATGTTTAGGTCTCTTTTTTGTTTTGCCAAAGCATATGTCAGTATAAGGAAGGAACAGGAAAATTAAAACTTGATCCACTGATTCAAAAAAACTTAATCCTGCTGAAATACTAAGAGGGGGAGAAAATAAATGAATGTAAGTCTTTAAGAAACCCCTTAAACTTCTCCAAATAAACCTTATTGAAATAATTCAATCTTGTATTTTATATGTAATTTGAAATAGGTATTCCACTGTTTAGAAAACCCTTAATAAAAGAAAAAAATTATCTAACCAACTTTTCTTTTTACAACATTGTTATATTTTAAATGGAGGAAAAAATACATTTTAAAAAATATAAAATGGAACTAAAAAAAATCTTAAGTATAAAAGGCTGTATAAAAAAATCATAAAATACATAATTTGGCCTTAGTAAAATGAATTATTTTGTATGTATTAATGCAAATGTGACATTACCATTCTATTAACACCAATTTTCACATGTAATAGTGTCCAATTATTATTGACATTGTCAAAAGTATTTCCATTTCAGGATGCAGATACAGAGGCAATAGCCAAAAAGATACTACAAGGAAATGGAGAGGGAGTGGTGGGGGAGGGGATGCTGGGCACAGCAGGGCTGAGAGGAAGAAAGGTACTCTGTGCTGGTTCAGGGCGTTGAACTGAAAGGTATAAAATACAGGATCAGAAACAGGGTGATGGCAAGGCACTGGTCTGAAGTCAGACCAGTTTAATTCCTACATCTATCACTCAAAAGTTGACTATCCTTGGGCAAACTACTTAATATTTCTGAGCCTCAGTTTCCTTATCTCTAAAATGAAGATAAAAAGACACCTTACAGGGTGACTGGGAGAAGCAGACATAACAGATATAAAGTACTAATAGAGAGAGTGGCATATAGTAACCTTGAATAAACGACAGTGTTTATGAATGTTTTAATCAAACATACTTAATTACTTCCTCATGAAAGAATGAGGGCGTCTGTTTTAGAAAAGAAACATATTGTATTATGGAAATATTTTCATTCCTTTCTAAACCAGTGATTAATACATCTGATCATCTCTACCTCACATTCACGGAGTTCTGTGAGTATACACTGGAGTTTACATTCCAGGCTTCTGAACTTGGCCAGCTGGTTCTGAGCACCCACCCTAACTTGGTGTGCATTTGCTCATCAAGTCCTGATTGAGCCCCCAGTGCTCCATGCCAGATACTGGGCCAGGCTGAGGAGCTCCAGAGAGGGGGCAGGCCTGGTCCAACTTTTCCAGAGGATCAGTTGAGTGGTGGGGACAAACCTGTCAGCTCCTACTCAGACTATGACTGCTGCTAGGACAGAGGGATGGACCTGCTGTGGGAGAAGTGTGCAGAAAATATAACTTTTCTGCCTTGAGATTTGGAAACTGCCTTGGAGATACACAGTAACTTGTTAGCTACAGAAGATAGGAAAGAAATCATGATTCTCTGTCCAGGAGAAGCATGGTAGGAGTGGTAATGGTGGGAGAGTATGAGGCTGAAAAGGGTACATCAGGCTCAAACATATTCTGAAGGCCTGGACTTTTCAAATTCTTTTTTAGCTACAAAACCCTACCTTCAAAGAAAACCAAGGCAGAGGCTCCATTTATAAAACAGATAAAAAGAGACTACTCCAGTTGATATAGGGAAGGGCACTGTGGCAGGAGTGGTGCTCCATCTCAGGCTACAAAGCTCAGTTCCACCCCTACTCCTGGGCCTGCCACTTTACAGCCGGAGTGACCTTAAGCAAGTTATTTAAACTCTCTGAGCCCTGGTCTTCTCATTTGGAAATAGAAATTAAAAAAAAAAAAAATAGCACCTCCCTTTCAGAGTTATTGTGAGACTTAGATGAGATAATACATGGAAAGCATCCAGTACAAAGGCTGGTAGAGAATAAGCACTCAGAAAATGTAAGCTTTCTTGTTGCTGTTATTCATGTTCTGGAAACACCTGAAGCATATTCGAATAATGAAGAGTTTATTCAGGAAAGTTTTCACCAACACAAATGACCGGGCAAAGATCTATGCTACAGCAAGATGACTTTTTGAGATATGACTAGTAATTTTTAACATCTCACATACATTTTAAAATCCAAATGCTCCCAGCATATAGCCCTAAAATGTTCTCTTTTTAGTATTCATTCATTCATTTATTCATTCATTCAATTTATAGCTTCATTCAATAGCTATTTCTAGGCATCTATTATATGTCAGGCACTATGGCAGAAAAAAGGAAGATAATATCAAACACATGAATTTATAGTCTGGCAAGGAAGGCAGTCATTAAACACATGCACAGTTAATCAATAAATTACAGTTGTAATAAGCACTATAAAGACATAAAGTTCTATGAAAATAATTAGCAGGGTAAGACCAACCTTTCCTTTGGGACCCCAGGAACTAAATGTGGACATATTTAAGATAAGTGATATTTAAGTTGAATTAAGAGTGGAAGGGATA